CAATGTATCTGACTTACCTAACTAGCGAGTGGTCCGAGGGGAAGGAGATGTGGTTGTGGTCTCCTTTTATGTACCTCTTTGTTGAGCTGTGGAAAACAAGAGATACTCACCCTGGGTGGTAGCCACTGTGCAAACATTCACTCGACTCTCCCTGCTTGGTAGAGTCGTGGAATCCTAGAACCGGAAGGGCCCTCGGGAGGTCGTTATGTCCCATCCCCTGCCCTTACGGCAGGACCAAGTGCCAGCTGGATCATCCCTGATAGACGTCTATCTAAGCTGCTCTTAGGTATCTCCAGGGATGGAGATTCCACAACTTCCTTAGGCAATTTATCCCAGTGTTTAACTCCCCGACAGGCAGGAAGTTTTTCCTCATGTCCAACCTGAACCTCCCTGTGAAAGGATGTACCAGCCCCACACTGGGACCGAAAGAGTTGCAGGTGGAGCTACGGGAGGACCGAACCACGGGGGCCAGGCAGTGAGAGATGGCTGGGGGGGCCTCCAGCCTGGACGCAACCAGGAAGGATGTGGGGCTGGAGCTCTGCAGGTGGAGCTACGGGAGGACCGAACCACGGGGGCCAGGCAGTGAGAGATGGCTGGAGGAGCCTCCAGCCTGGACGCAACCAGGACGGGGAGGTAAAAACCTCTGAAAGTTCAGCGTTTTTCGGGGGATTCCCCGCTGGGCTAATGGTGGGACAAACCCACCACTGACAGGGCCCTGGGCTGGGACCTGGTGGAGAGGGAGGGTCTGGGTCCCAGGCCCTAACCTTCATGGGAAGTGCTACAGCTGTGACTATTGGCGCTGGCCGCTAGGCATTACTACCCTAGAACAGGGAGCGATTGATACTGACTCTGTCCACTAGGCCTTACTGCCCTGGAGCAGGGAGCTATTGATACGGACCCTGGCTGCTAGGCCTTACTGCCCTTGCTATAGCGGGCACCTCTGCTGGCTCTGACCATTAGGCCTCACTTCCGTAAGGGAAAGGTGTGATGACTGATCCAGGCTACTAGGCCCCACCGCCCTAAGGGAAGGGGCTGAGAGGGACCCAGGCCACTGGGCCTCGCTTCTCCGAGAGAAGGGATGTTGTATTGACTGTGGCCGCAAGGCCAGACTTGTGGGGGAGCAGGGGTTATAGTGACTGGGCCTTGCCCTTAGAGTTTGGGACACTCTTGGGGCGTAAGACCCTGCCTAAGGCACCGGAGTCACCTGCCCCGTGGCACTACCTTCCTGCAATTTAAGCCCATTGCTTCTTGCCTCATTATCAGACATTAAGGAGAATAATTTTTCTCCCTCCTCCTTGTGACACTCTTCGCATGTCCCCTCCGTTGTCTCTTCTCTAAACAAAACAAGCCTAATTCCTTCAGTCTTCCCTCATGTTCTCTAGACCTTTTGCTGCTCTTCTCTGGACCCTCTCCAATTTCTCCACCGCTTTCTGGAAATGCGGTGCCCAGAACTGGACGCAACACTCCAACTGAGGCCTGACCAGCGCAGAGCAGAGCGGAAGAATGACGTCTCGTGTCTCAGTCACCACCCTCCTGTTCATGCTGCCCAGAATCACGTTGGCTTTCTTTGCAACAGCATCCCACTCTGGACTCCTATGTAGCTTGTGGTCCACTCGGACTCCTAGAGAGCATCATGCATTGGTGCCCAGAACTGGACGCAACACTCCAACTGAGGCCTGACCAGCGCAGAGCAGAGCGGAAGAATGACGTCTCGTGTCTCAGTCACCACCCTCCTGTTCATGCTGCCCAGAATCACGTTGGCTTTCTTTGCAACAGCATCCCACTCTGGACTCCTATGTAGCTTGTGGTCCACTCGGACTCCTAGAGAGCATCATGCATTCTTCCAGAACAGACGTTATTTTTGATTTAGGCCTTGTCTTTCCCAACAGCCTGATCTTTTAAAACTCTTCCCCCTTAAAAGCTGCCACTGTTGGCCTCTGTTGGATCGGCCTCACCCAAGACGCCTGGGCCGATACGCCTGCCCCCTACTGCTGCCCAGACCACTTTGGGTTGGGTTGGCATGGGGTGTTATCACTGGGGTGATCGGAGAGGGATTCAGGTACCCTAATTGCAGCAAGGGAGGTTTAGGTTAAAAACTTCCTGTCAGGGCGGCTAAACACTGGAATAAATTGCCTAGGGAGGTTGTAAAATCTCCATCACTGGAGATATTTAAGAGCAGGTTAGACAGACACCTGTCAGGGATGATCTAGATGGTGCTTGGTCCTGCTGTGAGGGCAGGGGACTGGACTCGATGACCTCTCGAGGTCCCTTCCAGTTCTAGTGCTCTGGGATTCTTTGCCTTGTTCACACGGCAGCTGGGAGCCGGCCTTCCCACCCAGGTAGACAGTCCGGTGGTCTTCTCAAGGCAGTGTGGGGATTGTAGCATGGGTTAGCCATCCAAAACAGACCTGGGGGGTCACGCCGGCTTGTACTTGGGTGACTGGGTAGCGCCGCATCCCTTCTTGCGATCGCCACATTGCTATTTTGAGTGTAGTCGCTCGAACAGAGCTAGGTTGACTGGATAGCAAGTGTGTGTGTGTGTGTGTGTGTAAATATATCTAACTTCTATCTGTAAATGGAGAGCTACACAGATCAGTAGTAGTCTTTGTTAATTCCAAATATCGGGACATGTGGTCACCCTAAACAGAGCAAACCGTGTCTGTCTTTCCCTCGTTTTTCCTCACAGACATTATTGACAAATCAAGATTTTTTTTTTCATCTTACAAATTTCCCCCAGAAAATGTTCCCAATTTTTTGGAGGGAGGGCAGAAACGTTGAATCCTGAAAAACTTGGGCCACCCACAGACCCCTTTATACGTTGAGGCCAAAATATTTCAGTGGTTGGGTGTTTGGTTTTTTTTTGACAAAAGATTGAAATTTCTCAGGAAAGCAGACACGGTCGTGAAAAATATCATTTTTTTAAACTCCTTTCCCCCCTCCCACCTCTCCCGCCCAGTTTCTCACTGTGAAAAAGCCTGGACAGAAATCTTTTAAGCAGTGCCTAAGTCCCTCAGTTCTTGGGAGTCGGCCTAGAATGAGGTCCACGTTCTACCGGTTTCAGCTGTATTCCGTGTGTACCTGTAACGTTTCGTGTTGATAAGCCAGTGCACAAAGTCCTTGGCCTTCATCTTGTCCAAGTATCTGGTAAAGTCACTGCTGAAGGTGCCTTCAGAATGGCGCTTAATGTTGGAAGTAAAACTCCGAGCGCTTTTCGATTCAAAAGACTGCCACCTGCGTGGGAGAGAGGGATGAGATACGTTACGTCGCTGCTGTGATGGAAGGGATACAGGGTCCCGCAGATGGCAGGGTGCAGTGAAAGGCCGGCATTTTGCCCCGGCCTTGTCATCAACGTAGCATGTAAGAATGGAGGGTGAGTTCGGTGGTTTGAGCATTAGTCTGCTAAACCCAGGGTTGTGAGTTCAATCTTTGATGGGACTATTTAGGGATCCGGGGCAAAATCTGTCAGGGATGGTACTTGGTCCTGCTGTAAGGGCAGGGGGCTGGACTTGATGACCTCTCAAGGTCCCGTCCAGCTCTATGAGATGGTATATCTCCATGTATTATTAATGGCCAGACTGGGTCAGACCCAAAGTCCCTCTAGCCCACGATCCTGTCTGCTGACAGTGGCCAATGGCAGATGCCCCAGAGGGAATGAACAGAACAAGGAATCAAGTGATCTGTCACCCATTCCCAGTCCTGACAAACGGAGGCTAGGGACACCAATCCTACCCATCCTGGCTAATAGCCACTGATGGACCTATCCTCTGTGACTTTAGCTAGCTCTTTTTCACATGCTGTTAAAGTCCTGGCCTTCACCGCATCCTCCGGCAAGGAGTTCCACAGGTTGACTGTGCGCTGTGTGAAGAAAAACTTCCTTTTGTGTGTTCTAAACCTGCTGCCTATTCATTCGATTGGCTGACCCCTAGTTCTTATATTAGGGGAACAATTAAATGACTTTTCCCTCTCCACTGTCAAGTTAGGTAACCACTTGTGACGGCGTGTCGGGGTTCCTCCCCGCCCCCCGATCCTGCTGCCCTGTAGCAGCAAGAACGGGCTCAGACGTGATGTGGCTACAGGAGTCAGGGCCAGGATGCCTCAGACCCCTTGAGATGGGGGTCCCTGACCCCTAGATTCCAGCCCCCTCCTTAGTCTGTCTCCTTCATGATTCCAGCCAAAGACCGCCCCTTCCCCCAACACTCACTTCCTTTGTTCCCTCCCTTCCCTTAACGGGTAGGACCGGTTCGGTTACTGCCATGGGGGCCCTCAAGGCGCCCCGCGCTGGGCAGTGCACACAGACAGAAGCCAGTAGGGGTCATCCACAGCCCACGCACAGCAACCAGCAAGGTACTGACACTACATCCCACCACTAGAATAAATTGCCCAGGGAGGTCGTGGAATCTCCATCCCTGGAGATATTTAAGAGCAGGTGAGACAGACGCCTGTCAGGGATGATCACGGCTTGGTCCTGTCGTGAGGGCCGGGGGTTGGACGTGATGACCCCTGTGATTCTAGCCTCATTATCAGGGCTCGACAAACCACAGCGAAATCCACTCGCCAGCCCCGCACCGCGCATGCCTGCACCACCGGTGAACAGGGCGACCGGCTGAAATCGGATTTGTCGAGCCGTGCTCATTATCAGCCATATTCTCTGCTACGTAATACACCTCACCATGTTATTCGGGTGTTTTTCATCTGCTGCACATCCCCTGGCAACCACGCTGAATAAAACCGAGGCATCTGCATGGTTAACGCTAATGCTACCTGTCCGAGACAGTCCATCTCCACCTCCTTCCGCCAGTCCCACCAGCCCACGGTGAGTTTGTCCGTCTCAAAGACGCCTTACCTAGACTCATCGGATGTATCCTTGAGGACAACCTGCCTGCTGGCAGGAATCAACGCCACCGTCACAAGTCCACACAGGTAGAGCCACTGTGCGCTTTTCATTTGGCCTTCCGAACAGGACAACAACGCCTGATGTGATGACCTGCAAGCCAATTAAATCCAGCCTGAGTGGGGCCAAGCACCACACCAGTCAACTGCCCGGTGCTTTCCTCATGTGGATGGGCATCAGGTGGAAAATTCCACCGTGGGACTTGATTTGCAATAGGCATATTATAATGTTGGCTACTCCAAGGTACACGGTCACCCTCCCCAACCTTTAATCTATTGACATGCACCTTTCCTTCACCAGATCTCATGAATAATGGCTCGAAGGTTTGAAATGAAGTGGGGAGCTGGAGTCACTTGTATGGGTGCTAAGCCATTGAATCAAACTATAAGCCCGTGTTTGAATGGAATCCGCTTCAAGCCATGGGGTGTAGCAGCCCCCCCCCACCTCCTCACACCCTTCCTCCAGCTCCTATACATTAAATTGCTTATCTTCTGTTATCTTTCCCCCTTATCTTTCCCCTATTCTCTTCTAGACGAATCGCACAATTACTGACTTAAGTAAAGTCAACTGTTGGTGAGGTTAGTCAAAAACCCAAATGATTTGGTTTTAAAAAAAGTCTCCCTCGTTTTACCAATAATGTAGAGTTTCTGATCACTTCCATGCTGTAAGATACCCTCCCTCCTAGCCCCCAATTTCATTTCTTCAAAGCACCGGAGGCTGGCGACTGAGAAGGAGGGAAAGGCTTACCTTGCAGCTGCAACCAATGCTCTCCTAAAATCCGACTCTTGTTTTCCTTGCACAAACCTGCTGTGGTTAAACTCTGCTCCTCACTGGTGCTTTTAAGCTTGTTAGCAGGATGCTAAAAGATGACAGGTAGGTCGTCGGGACTTCTGTTTTTAGCCGGACGGGTCATTATGAATCATTACGTGACTTCTTTTAAGTGGGTCTGCTGCAAGAAATAAAAGAAGAGTTCTCACCGTGGTTTTCAACCTACGCCTTCAGCACCTGTTTTTTTTTTTTACAGTGCTCGGGCCCATCGAACGACCGATCCATTTTTTCCCTCCTTGTAGATAAGTGAGTCCCGTATTGCCACAACGCATCCTATATGGAGAAATGATTTCTGAGCCTGCAGGGGGTCTGTTTCAAACACCTTTCTGTTCAAGCAGGGAAAAAGAGGGAGCGCGACAGTGCCAAATGAACCGACTCCAGATTGGGACCAACATACGTACACTGGCAATCTATTTCTTAATCGCTGGAAGATCAGCCATGTATCTCTAAGAGTGTCATGGATGGGACACGATGCATTGGAGTCCTGGCTCATGAGTTCGCCTCCCAGGCGCTCTTGTACTATAAGGCTACGTCTAGACTGGCATGATTTTCCGCAAATGCTTTTAACGGAAACGTTTTCCGTTAAAAGCGTTTGGGGAAAAGAGCGTCTAGATTGGCACGGATGCTTTTCCGCAAAAGCACTTTTAGCAGAAAAGCGTCCGTGCCAATCTAGACGCAGTTTTGCGCAAGAAAGCCCCGATCGTCATTTTCGCAATCAGGGCTTTTTGGCGCAAAACAATACCACGTTGTCTACACTGGCCCTCTTGCGCAAAAGCATTTGCGCAAGACGGCTTTTGCCTGCACGGGAGCAGCATTGCATTTCCGCAAGAACACTGACAATCTTACAGGAGATCGTCAGTGTTCTTGCGGAAATTCAAGCGGCCAGTGTAGACAGCTGGCAAGTTTTTCCACAAAAGCAGCTGCTTTTGCGGAAAAACTTGCCAGTCTAGACACAGCCTAAGTGAATAAGGAATCTCATCATGCACCATGTGGAATCTCTCTAGTCTGGCACATTGACCGGGGCTGAACCAGGGAATTTTCCTGCCCATGGGAGGTCGATCTTGTCTAGCGACATTCCCAACCCTTCCTCTGCTTACTGGACCCTGGGAAGACATTGAGCTAAATAACAGCCCAGAACACGGAGAGCCAGGACGGGGGGCTGTAAACAAACTTTATGGGACGGTGGGAAACTTGGCCACACCCACAATAAGTGGCCATCTGGCTACTAACAGCATGCTGGACCACGGATGTTAGAATCATCTGGTGGGAAGGGACCTCAGGAAACCATTGACTCCAATCCCCTGCCCAAAGCAGACCCCACCCCAACTACATTAACCCAGCCAGGGCTTTGTCAAGCGGGGCTTAAACACCTCTAGGGATGGAGATTCCACCCCCAGCCCAGCGCTTCCCCCACTCCTTGGGAAATAGTTTTTCTTCATCTCCAACCTAGGCTTCCCCCACTGCAACTTGAGCCCGTTGCTCCTTGTTCTGCCACCTACCCCCCCTAAGAACAGCCTCTCTCCAGCCTCTTTGGAACCCCCCTTCAGGGAGTTGAAGGCTGCTCTCAAATCCCCCCTCACTCTTCGTTTCTCAAGCCCAAATCCCTCAGCCTCTCCTCGTCGGTCATGTGCTCCAGCCCCCTTCTCATGTGGGTTGCCCTCCACTGGACCTTCTCCAAGGTATCCACATCCTTCCTATAGTGCAGGGCCCAGAACTGGACACAATACTCCAGATGTGGCCTCCCCAGAGCCGAATAAAGAGGATTCATCGCTTTCCTAGATCTCTGGCCATGCTCCTCCTAATGCGCCCCACTATGCCATTAGCTTTCTTGGCTACAAAGACCCACTGGCGACTCATATCCAGCTTCTCATCCACTGGAATCCCCAGGTCCTTTGTTACCAGACCAGAAAGTGCTGGAATAGGCAGGTTCGCCCTGTAATTGTATGTGGAAATAGCCAGAATTTTGGGATCGAAACTTTCCTTTGCGGGGGGCAGAGAGCAACTCCGGCACTACAGAAAGATCTTGTGCATTTGTGGTGATTTTTGCCAAATGTTGCATGTTTCCTTTTTCTTCAGTGAAAAAAAAAATACCCGCCCCCCAACTGCGAAACGAACGACCATATTTCAGTTCAATCGTATCAAAACATGGCCTTCTGACTTTTCCTTTGCAGTGACTTTAAATGCCAGGCAATCTGGAAACACATTTTTACTAAAAAGTCATTCCAAATGGCCACAACAGGGAACCAGTTTGTCGAAACAAAACATTTTGATTGGGCAGAAATGATTTGCGGGGGAGGGGTCTTTATGATTGGCCAGAAGTTTAAAAATGGGCTTGGCCTTCCCCGACTAGTCCAGACCGAATCACGGACTTTTTCGTTTGTTTGCCATTCACCTCTGCTCAGACGAACCCAAGTGTGTTTCCCGACTAGTCCAGACTGAATCACGGAATTTTTCGTTTGTTTGCCATTCACCTCTGCTCAGACGAACCCAAGTGTGTCTCTCTTACAGCTCCTTGTGGCAGGGCTCCGGCCTTGGCGCGGGGGTCCTGCGTTTCTAGGTGGAAAGTGTTTGTCTCATCCTCCATGTTGCCTTTTGCCCTGTGCTAGGGCTCAGGGTCACACCCTACGGAACCATCCTCATCACAGGCCAGTCCTAGGCCTCATCGTGGGCCCTTTAAATCGCCGTTGGAGCCTTGCACCATGTGCTCTGTGCAGCTCTGAGGGCTGGGGGGGGGAGCGTGCTTCCCCATAAAGATGTCTGAGGGGAAAGCTGCAGGCAGACAGAAGAACCAACTTGGGACCCCAGGACTTTACGTCAGAGCGGGCAAGGATACGCAGCCCAGAGCCCGGAAAGCGGCCAAGAACGGGGGCAGGGGAGGAGCTGAAAAGACGCTCGTGTTGGTTGGGATTTTTTTTTTTTTAGTCCGGCCCTTCACTGAGCCGGGAGGGGTGAAGTGCGTCTGGGGCGTGGCCTGGGGGCTAAGCCATCTCTCCCGGGTGTTGAGGCAACTCAACTCTGGGAGGGCAAGTGAGGCAGGGCAGTGCCAACAGCACCCTGCTTGGCCAGTAGGTGGCACTTTGCAGCACTCGTTAATATCAATGAGCGTCTCGCCCTGACCGTTTCCTTCTAGGGGAGCAGAGTTAAACCAGCTCTGGAAATCTCATCCTTGCTGTTCTCTTGCAGAAGTGATTCATTGTTCTCAGACGGCCCCGATCCGCTTCCTGTCACGGTCGGCACTGACGCAGAGGACTGGCTCCTGTGTTGGCCGGCTCTGCTCTTCATCTAGGAACAGCCTGATAGTGGCCAAGTCATTAAAAAAACCCTCTTTGAGGGAAAAGCAACAAACACTGTCCAACTATCCCCGCGGTTCAGAGGGGGGCTGGCCTAGCAGAGCCTCTTGCTAATTAGGTGTAATCAGGGCTTGAAAAGAAACCCCGACATCAGCAAAGCACGGCAAGAATAGAGTAATGAGCCCAACCTTTGCACACCAGGTTGAAACTCTGCTGATCTCCGGCACGTCACTCTGCATTACCTGTTTATTCAGGCTCTCAAATTTGGGTTGCAGGGACGCTGTTCTGAGATCATTACGTTGTAGCCTGACCTTACCAGGAACTGCAGGCATCAGCCGTGACAGGTACGCGGGAGGGAATAAAAAGCCAGTTTCAACCAGTGTGTCTAAAAATACGAGGGTTCCTCGTGGTTCTGGCAGCCGCAGAAGGAGATGGACACGCCAGGGCGGGGGTAGGTATTAAGTGTCTGGCAGGCCGGGCTGCCGGTGCTTTTGGCTCAGACACCGTTCTAGGTCAATGGTATTCGCTGTTTCCTCCAGCTCCCATTGGCCAGGCGGAGTGATCCTCCATAAACCGGGGCTGCGAGTGGCCTGTCTGCGGATGCACAGTCAAGTGCACGTTGACGAAATTGGGACTAGGGATGTTAAATATCGCCTAGCTGAATAGTCGATTAACCTCACGAATTCTTATCGGTTAGTCGATTATTCTATAGTCCCCGGGGGCGGGACTGGCAGCCAGTGTGCTATGGCCCCACTCTTGGGAAACCCACTGCCACTCTATGCTGCTGCTTCTGTATCAGGCAGCAGCGTGGGATGCCAGGTAGGAGCTGGTCCACGAGGGGAGCCAGTTTAAAAACTGGCTCCCCTCACGGAGCAGCTGCCTGCTGCCCCCACGCTGCTGCCTCCGGTATGCCCACGGCTTGAATCCTGCATGCAGATTCATCTCAAAAGAGATCTCTTGGCATTAGAAAAGGTTCCGAGAACGGCAACAAAAATGCTGTGGGGTTTGGAACGGATCCCATCTAAAGACAGATTAAAAAGACTGGGACTTTTCAGCTTAGAAAAGAGGAGACAAAAGGGGGATAGGATAGTACCACTTTGGGATATATGGTCGTGCCAATTTTCTTCCACTATTTGATCTGAGGAAGTGGGTCTGGCCCATGAAAGCTCATCACCTAATAAACCATCTTGTGAGTCTTTCAAGTGCTACATAGTCCTGCCTTTTGTTTCAGCTGGACCAGACGAACACGGCTGCATCTCTAGTACTATTCTCTGAGTCCAGGAAGCCATGGCAGCGTTGGGAATGCTGCTAGACCCTCTTGACCACCTGTGGTTTGGCAAATTCACCGATCATGTCCCGAGAGTGCCGAACTGGAGAGGTTCAGCCTGTCGTTTGAAAACTTTTCAAGTAGAATCCAGCCTGAGACGGACACCCGGCTGGGAGAACGTCAGCCGAACTGGTTACAAGGTATTCCCAGGAACTGAAAAGCGGGTCTGACAACGGGAAGAGGTTGGCTCACTTCCCTGCAGCTGTGGGCACCTTGGCTGTCTAGACTGGTCTGGACCTATGGCACATGCGGGTTGGAAGGGGCTTAGGGCAGCGTCCGGGAGATCGTAATGTGTGTGTGTGTGGGGAGGGAGGGCAGGGGGTCGAACAAACAGCCAATTGCATACGTGGTGTGCCTAGCCCTAAATCTTCAA